TGTTTTTTTTTTTTTGTGATCTTTCTTTTTCTCAGTGTAGATGTGTTCCTAAAGTTTCTAAGAGGTATGATAGCAATTTTTGATGAGTAATATCCTTTTTTAGAGGGTGAGGAAAGAAAATAAGAGAAAGAAAGCAATTTGAATGCAATTTCTTTTTTAATACGGATTTCTGAGCATCTTTTTTTAAAAAATTTTTTAAATGTTTTATTTATTCTAGGAGAGAGAGAGAGAGAGACAGCATGAGCAGGGGAGGGTCAGAGAGAGAGGGAGTCACAGACTGAAACAGGCTCCAGGCTCTGAGCTGGCAGTCAGCACAGAGCCTGACGCGGGGCTCGAACCCACGAACCGCGAGATCATGACCCAAGCGACAGTCGGACGCTTAACCGACTAAGCCACCCAGGCGCCCTGATTTCTGAGCATCTTAAGAACAATTATTTTGAATTCTTTGTTAGGTAATTCCTGATCTCCACTCCCTTGGGACTGTACTAGAGGTTTACTGTATTCCTTTGGTGGAGATTTTTTCATAAATTTGTGATTCCTGTACTTTGCATTGCTGCCTGCACATTTAAATAAGCGATAATCTCTTATCCAGACTTTATGGGTTGACTTAATTAAGGGAAGACTCACCTGTGGTCAGGCACACACTGGAGTGTGCTGTGACCTAGGCCTAGTGATGCAGAGCACCAAGGATTGGGGCTTGTGAAAGCACAGGGTCTGGGGGTAAAGAAGTCTCTTTGGCCTAGGCCACTAGGGTACACAGCAGACAGCTCTGCTGTCCTCGGAGAGCACTGTAGGAAGTCCACAGAGGGTACAAGGACTCATGGTGCCTCAGTGGTGGTTCCAAGTCCTTTGGGGACTAGGGCAGGCAGTGGTAGTGACTGGAGCTGATAGTGTGCACAGACTTCGCTCTGGGGGCCAGCTGCATTTGCCTATGTTGTAGCAGGGACCAGTTGCAGACAAACATAGTGCTGGGAGCCAAGGCAGGAAGTCAGTCCCGGGACTCCCACACAGGCAAGACAAAAACCAGTCCCTCTGGCAGCCCCCTTGAAAAGCCAGAGCACTGGACATAGTTCCTTCCATGAGAGAAGGTGTGGGCTGGTAGTTTTCTCCTGATCGCTTTGTACTGTGCCCACAAAGTGGTGGGTAAATTCAACAAAGTTTCATACCTACTCTGATGCAGCTCTGCTTGGCTTTGCACTTACCCTGGGCCCTGCAATGTCTTAACTGGTTTCTTGAGTTCTCAAAAGGGCAATTTGGTCTGTATATTGTTAACTTTGGTGTCTCCCTGGGGGGATGAGGACCTGGGGCTTCCTATTGCACCATCTTGCTGATGTCAGTGGAGCAGGCACATTTTTCAAAAGACATTTTTCATTTTGTAAAAGTAAATATTTATTTATTTTACATAGTAAAATATCCATCTTTCTATATTCTCAACATTCACAATAGAGTGAAGAAATCTATGTGGTCCTTCCATTTTCTTTCTGCTTAATGAATAAATGAGTGGAATATGTGTAATGAAATCTGATTCCACATAATTCTCTCTATTAGGACCTTCCCAAGCAAATAATTAACAATCTCTGTTTCAAAATTCTGTTTTCCCCTATACTCAGATTCCCAAAGAAGTGTCAACATTTAACCATAAAACCAACAAGCATTTTGCTTTGTTTGGTGAAATGGAAATCCGTATTAAGGTCAATATGTTTAAGGGAAAATCATCTCTAAAATGAAAAAATAGCAAATTATCAGATCTGATTTATAAATGGAAACATGCCAATGTAATATAATAAGTAATAAGTATTATATGTTCCAAGAAATTTTTATAAAAAATATTTATAAAGCTCACCTTAATATTCAGAATTTCACTTGCTTTTCTCCCAGACACACGTTCTCAACTGACAAAATGAAAAATTTCAACGTAGTAAGACTCAATCTAACTTTTACTTTTAATACGCATACATGTTAATTGTAAGACATTGGCTAGTAGATATAAACATTCTCAAACATTCCTATATTTGAGGAATGTCTGTTTTGACAATGTTAATTTGTATTCTAGTGAAACAAAAGTAAATGTCCACATAGAATATTGCAAGTATCATTCTCAGTATTTAATAAAGCTCAGGAGAGGGGCGCCTGGGTGGCTCAGTCGGTTGAGCATCCGACTTCAGCTCAGGTCATGATCTCACAGCTCTTGAGTTCAAGACTCCCCGTGTCGGGCTCTGTGCTGGCAGCTCAGAGCCTGGAGCCTCTTTCCGATTCTGTGTCTCCCTCTCTCTCTCTGCCTTTCTCCCACTCGCGGTCTCTCTCTCAAAAATAAATAAAAGCATTTTAAAAAATAGAGCTCAGGAGAAATATTGCTGAGTTTATTTTAATATTTTTCAGAATCTATTACAAAGCACCCTGTTTTCTATAGAGTTCCATAGCATATTTTTTTTTTCACACAAAACAAAGGAATATTTCTTTGACTCCTATATGTATTGCAAAATTCTGAGCCCTGAAAGAAAGGAGAAATTGCATTCAGATTGCTTTCTTTTTCTTATTTTCTCTTTTTTTCCTTTCTCACTCTCTAAAGACCATATTATTCATCTAAAATTATTTAGATATATAATTATATGCTATCATACTATTTAGAAACTTCAGAACACATAAATTATGCTTCTAAAAGTACTGAGTTCATTGGAAAGTATCACGTTCAGTTTGGCTCTCAGTAAACAAAACCATGTCTTCATTAGATGCTAATTTTGGCAGAGTACAAACTTACATACATTACATGATGTGATCAAGTAGTTTAAAGTAAGAGGTACTTGCTTTCAATAATAAAGTGATAAAGAATTAAAGTACAATATATACATCTTCTGGATAAGTGATTTAGGCCATTATGGTTTTTTGTCTTTTTAGAAGTCTTTAGAATTAATATTTTCAAAATTACTCCTTTTATCTGGCACTCGGTCTACTCACTGGAATAGAGGCATAGAAAAGATTCTCCCTGGTAAGATTAATATATTCATATAACATATGGCTAAGCTGAAACAAAAAGTTCAAATATCTGAGAGATAAAGGTATTTGTGATCATGAGCTGTTTTAAATGGAGGAAACCACTAAGATTATTTTTAGCAAAAACCCAAGCAAAACCAATCTTGGGCAATGAGTGCTAACCTATTTTATAACAGTTAATTAATAACCCTACCTCTTTGCAAAAGGATACCATTTTATTGTATTATTTTTAAAAGTTTATTTATTTACTTTGAGAGAGAGAGAGAGAGAGAGTATGAGCCAGAGATGAGGGACAGAGAGAGAGGGAGAGAGAGAATCCCAAGAGAAGCCTGCTTTGGATTCTCTCTCTCCCTCTCTCTCTGTCCCTCTTCCACTCACATGCACTCTCTCTACTGTTAAAATCACTACTGTTAAAATCCAGTGAGCACTCATTTATGTCTAACTTTTACAAATAATTTCCTCCTTCCTAGAGAAGTACTTCTTAGGAGAATAGGGATTTGTAAATTTTGATAACCCAAATTCAACTTCACTGATCAGCAATCAGAAATGAGATGAAACACCTCTAAACTTGTAAAATTAAAAAATGGTTAAAAGTGCAAAAACTGACACATAACTTTAAAAGAATTCTGTCTCTTGGTTAAGAAAAAAAAAGAATAAATTCTGCCCGAGGTGGGTTGGCTAGGAGTCCCTCCCTCGTGTGACCATGTTGGTGTTTTGGCTTGTTTTCTTAGACAATGTGCTCTCTTGTGATTTTTCATCACACCTTGCATTTTCTTTTCTCTTTAGAGTTATAGGAAATTGCAGTCTATGATTCTTTCTTTTTCTTCTTGCAGAATTTCCTTGTGCAGAAACTGAATGAATCATTGTCTTATTTTCTGGGACTCTCAGATACACAAGGGAATGACAATTGGCAATGGATTGATAAGACACCTTACAAGGAAAATGTCAGGTGAGTGCCAAATTAGATTAATGAATCGTAGAGCCTTGTTTATATAGAAAATTTAGGGGAATTTTGTTAGTAGAGATAATTAATGCTAATATTTCCAATTATAACAATGATAACAGATTCTAACAGTAAGCTCTTACTAACTGTATGTAGTATATCACTTAAACTTCCTGAAAGCTTTTTTTTTTTTTTTAAAATAGTTTATTGTCAAGTTGGTTTCCATATATCACCCAGTGCTCATTCCCACAAGTGCCTTCCTCCATGCCCATCACCCCTCCTCCCCCCACCCCATCTGCCCTCAGTTTGTTCTCGGCATTCAAGAGTCTCTCGTGGTTTATCTGTACGATGGAATACCACATGGCAATGAGAAAGAATGAAATCTGGCCATGTGTAGCAACATGGATGGAACTTGAGGGTGTTATGCTGAGCGAAATAAGTCAGGCAGAGGAGGACAGACTCCATATGTTTTCACGTATAGGAGGATTAAGAGGAACTTAATGGAGGACCGTGGGGGAGAAGAAGGGGAAAAAGAGTGGGGGAGAGGGAGGGAGGCAAACCACGAAAGCTTATTTTTTAGAATTCATTTTATGGCTTAAAAGATTGAATAACTTGCCCAATGTTAATAAACTAGTAAGATGAGAAGCTAGGTCTCAACTTCATGTGTGTCTAACCCCAAAGATGGTGATGCTCTCAGCCGTTATATTTTACTGCCTCTAAATACACGTAGACACTTCAATCAAAATTTTCTCCAGTTAATATGATTTAAAATATCTGGGGCAGAACTATGTTCAATTCTGATAGGATAATAATATAATAATACTATTTATTTGTGGCTTAAAAATCAATTTAATTGTACATTGTCTCATTTGATTCTCATGTAGTCTCACGATCTATTTGGAGACCTCATTATAATTCCCATTTTAAAAATTTTAAAGTTTATTTATTTATTTTGAGAGAGAGAGAAAGAATGAGTAAGGAAGGGTCAGAGAGAGAGTGAAAATCCCAAGCAGGCTCTGTGCTGCCAGCTCAGAGCCCAAGGTGGGGCTCGATCCCATGAACTATGAGATCACGACCTGAGCCAAAGTTGGACACTCAACCAAATGAGCCATCCAGGTGCCCCTGATTCCTATTTTTAAAAGATGAAGAATCTAATACCTGGGAGACCAAGTTACTTCCTTAAGATCATAGTAAGCCAGCAAGAAAATCCAGTTTCTTCATTGCAAAAGTAAAGTCCTACATGCACCACCCCCCCACCTCCTACCACAGATTGTATTCCTTGGAAGCAGAGTAACTTATTTTCAGACTCATTCTCCTGACACTTGATTAGTGTAGTTCCATGAAAATAGAGCTAACTTTTTTTTCTTAATGTTTTTTTAAATTTATTTCTGAGAGAGAGAGAGAGACAGCATGAGCTGGGGAGGGTCAGAAAGAGAGGGAGGTACAGAACCTGAAACAGGCTCCAGGCTTTGAGCTAGCTGTCAGCGCAGAGCCGGATGCAGGGCTCGAACCAACAAACTGTGAGATCATGACCCGAGCCAAAGTCGGATGCTTAACCGACTGAGCCACCCAGGCACCCCGAGAATAGAGCTAACTCAGGAACATGATAAGAGTACACAAATGAGAAGGCAACCTCTTTATTACATGCCACTAAAGGAGGAATTTTTAATAACTTAGGTTGGGATAAGGGCTCTGAATAGACGAGAAAGTGAAGATCAGAATCTGGGGGAAGGTTCCAAGAACACTGTTGCATACAAATTTTGCCAGGGGAGAGACAGAGGAGCAAGAGTAAAGGTCCACACTTGAGGTTTTTGAGGAGGGCAGTATGAGAAGAGGAGAGCGATCATTGGAATGTTCTTTCACTCTGAACCTCATTGTTCAACCCTGACCCTACATGCTTTCTAATCAATCACAATGCGTTCATTGAAGTCTTTTACCTTTTTGTTTCTCTTTAGATTATGGCACCAGAATGAGCCCAATTTTTCTGCAGAGGAATGTGCTTCAATAGTTTTCTGGGAAAACAGAGGATGGGGCTGGAATGACGTTTTCTGTGATAGTAAGAGACATTCAATATGTGAGATGAAGAAGATTTATCTCTGAATAGAACTTTATTCACTGAAATCTTTAAAGTTAAGACCTGTCATAAAATGATAATTTCCTCTGGCAATTTATGTGTATTTTTTATCACAGAGGTTCATGGAAATATTCAGATGCTTTTCTCCCTTCAATTAGCCCTCTTCTAGTTTCCTGTTTTTCACTAATAAGATGAACTCTTCCTTCCTTTGTTTTCTCTTTAATTTGTTAGTCATTCTTTCCTTTCTTCATATTTTTATAAATGTTCCTTGTGCCAAAGATTGTACTATTTTGTCTGTTGGAAGACTCATAGGGAATAACTTCTGACAATTATGAATTTCTTTCATCAAAATGCTATTTAAAAGCTCTTTTGGCCAAGATGGTGACTGGGACTGCAATCAATGGAAGGCCTGACAAGAGCTAAAGAATTTGCTTTCCAGACAGTTCACTCAAATGGCTATTTGATATTGGCTATTGGTAGGAAGCCTGAGTTTTCCACCACAGGGATCTCTTCTTAGGGTTATTTGAGTGTCCTCACAATACATCAGCTGCTTCCACCAGAGCAAGTAATCCCAAGAGCAAGTGAGAGCAGCAATGTCTTTTATGGTCTAGCTTCAAAAGCCAAACACCATAATTCTATTGGTCACACAGATCAAACCTGAGATAATAGAGAAGAGGACTGGGGCACCTGGGTGGCTCAGTCAGTTGAGTGGTCCAACAGGCTCAGGTCATGATCTCATAGTTCGTGAGTTCAGACCCCACATTGGGCTCTGTGCTGACAGTTCAGAGCCTGGAGCCTGCTTCAGATTCTGTGTCTCCCTCTCTCTCTGTCCCTCCCCTGCTCATGCTCTGTCTCTCTCTGTCAAAAATAAGTAAACATTAAAAAATAAAGAAGAGGACTATCCAAAGGTAGGAACTCCAGAGGTGAGAATCATTCAGGTCAATCTTGGAGTCTGGCTGCCATAGTGGAATTTCCTTAAAAAGATACAAAATATGTATTCCAAGAAGCAAATAATTAAAAATTCTTCTACAATAAAAATATGAAACTCATATTCATCAAAACACTATAAAGAAAAATTTTAAGAGTTGAACTGCAAGAAGACATTTTATTATTTTTTAAAAGATTTTATTTTTTAAAGTAATCTCCACACCCAAAGGGAACTCAGACTCACAACGACAAGATCAAGACTGAACCAGCCAGGTGCCCTGAAGATATTTTAATACTTATAACTAATATGGTATTAATGCTGCATGAGAACATAACAGCTGTCACAAATCAATAAGATGGAATTTGGGCAGAATATTTAAGAGACATTTTACAGAAGAGGAAATACAGATTCCAATAAATGTGTTTTTATAGAGATGCTCAGCTCCACTAATAATTTGAGAACTGTCAATACAGACCACAATAACATACTATTTCATATTCATTTTAATGGCTAAAGTGAAGAAACAATGCCAAGAATTGGAGATGTAGGTAAATGGTATCTCTTATACTTTGCTGACTTGAGCTTATCCTGGTAAAACTATATTGTAAAATAAATACATCTACATTTTTTCCCTATATAAACATCACCTAACAAATGCTGTGTTGAGAGAGATCTAACTCTATGAAATGTGGGTGCTGGAATGAGGAATTATTCTGTGGGGATAACTTTAACTAGGGAGACCTTCTGCATTGTATGTTTGTTATTTAGACACATATATGGTAAAAGTAAAAACAAAACAGGGGTTAGGTGAACATAATTCTCAACATAATGGTTACATTTAGATGGTAGGCAGGGATTGGGAGGAGCACACAGATATGTGATAGAGTTCCAGATTTTGTATCGGGCAGTGACATTTATATAATAGACATCAAACAGGGGCACCTGGATGGCTGGGTCAGTTAAGTGTCCAACTCTTGATGTCTGCTCAGGTTATGAGCTCATGGTTTGTGAGTTCAAGCCCCACATTGGACTCTGTGGTGACAGTGCAGAGACTGCTGAGATTCACTCTCTCCCTCTCTCTCTGCCCCTCCCCTGCTCACTCTCTCTCTCTCTCAAAATAAATAATTAAACTTTAAAAATTAAAAAAAAAACCCCACAACAACAAAATAAAGCAATAATGTCAAGAAGATAGTGTATTATGAATCTCAAATTATGACTAAAACATTTTTGTGAACCCATAGTCCAAATATGAAAAATACTTAATTGGAGTCTAGATTAATGAAAGTTGGGAGTTCTTGACTGATATCTTTGAATTCAAGATCACACTGAAGTAACAGTGATCCCAGATTCCAGAAGCTGTTGCTGCCATGCCACTGTCATCACAATCGACTATCCACCCACAAGAGGCTAGGCGTTGGAGTACTCAATCTAGCCCTAGCGATTACATCTGGAAATTCATAATCTGTGACCTTAATTATCAGCAGAAACATCAGCAGGAAATTCTCTCCTGCTTTATTTTTACTTCCAAGTCTCACACTTTTTCGTTTAATTGGTGGTTACAAATTTTCATGAAGAAAGTAATTGGAAGGAAGTCTGAAAAATGTAGTTCATAGCTTTCCAGGTTTTGAAGCACCAGTAGGCACATTGAAGGATGTGGGGATGGATGCCGAGGACTGATGAACTACATTGAGCAGTTATGATTTGCTATTCTTTACACTGTAAGATTTGATCTAAGCATCTGTATCTATAAGTGAGATGACCCATAGTTGGTTTTTTTTTTGTTTTTTTTTTGGTACTCTTACAGTTTGGAACAGGTGCACACTAGGTTTATTGAATGAATCAGGATGTGTTTTTTTCTATTTTCTGAACTGTTTGGTTAAGTTCACCTGCAATGTAGTGTCATAGTCTGTCTGGGCTGCTCTAATAAAATGTCACAGGCTGGGTAGCTTAGAAATAATGGAAATTTATTTCTCACTGTTCTGGAGGCTGGGAAATCCAAGTCAAGGCACCAGCATGATCACATTTTGGTAAGAGCCCTCCTCCTAGTTCATAGCCTGCACCCTTGTCACTGTCTCCACATGGTGGAAGGGGAGCTAGAGGTCCCTCTAGAGCTTCTTTTATATAGCATTAATCCCATTCAAGAGGACCCCATTCTCACGACTTAAGCACCTCCCAAAGGTCCCATCTTCTAATACCATACCCTTTGAGCATTAGTATTTCAACATATGAATTTTATGGGGATGCAAACATTCAGATCATAGCGTGTAGGTAAATATTTCTTAGATGTTTGGTTTAAATTTATCCATAAAGTTTTCTGAACTTGCTGTTTATTTAAGACTGTTTATTTCAACTACATTTTCCTTTTATTTTCCCCTATGATTTTTAGGCTTCATGAATTTGATTTTTATTTTCTAGAAAACCATTTATCTCACATTAATTTTTTTTTGAGCAGAGAACATGCGTTATTGAGGAATAGATATGGAACAGCACATTCTTCCACTTGCGGGGTAGAGTTAGCTTTACAGGCCCTTTACCCTGAAGAAAACCCCCAGTGAGGCTGCTTTTGGATAAACTGTAACAGTGACACTGAAACTGGTTAAGTATGCTTAAAATTAGCTCCGCCCAAACTACAGTGAGTATAAGTAGTGACAGAGCTGACAAGAGAAAGGCACAGATGACCAGAGTCAGGAATGTGGGGGCTCCATGTGAGGACAGCAGTGTTGTAGGAGACCAGGTTGGGACGGGTGGCATGTCATATATCAAAAGCTGCCCATCAAAAGGTTGTAAGGTGCTGGAGAGAAGTTAAAGGGAGCATCTCTTTCTTTGCTTGAACACCAAAAATAGGAAACCAGAGAATAGGGGGAATGGTGGCAAATCCCAAAAAGGAAATGGAGGAGTTCTTGGAAGAGCATGGCCACGTTAGTTCAAGAGGGAGGGTGAGGCACTGTTAAAGAGAAGCAAACCTTGGTGGGGGTGGCCTATTGAGTCTTGGGCTGAGGTGTGGAAATCATTTGCAACCATTTCCTACCTCTCCAAGGACGTTCAGACAAAAATCAGTACAACTTAGATGGAGTTACAGGTGTGCTACATCACACTGGGGGAAAGGTTTCTGCAGTCTGACGAACTTGTTAACATGCAGCATGAAAGGGAATGGAATATTATTTTGGCACCTGCAGTGTAAAAGGGGCCAGGGAGTTATTAAGAGAGAAGAAAGAACTTATGACTGGGTACTTTCTGGTGAGGCAAAAAGAAGTGTTTGTTTCCCTCCACTAAGACACTGCCCACAGGTGAGCTCAAAGCACAGAATCACTCTTAACTGTCGTCTCCATCTCATTCAGATAGATTACGTGTTGTTACCAAGACTCGTCCTTGGAAGGGTCTTAAAAAATATCTCTCTTTGGTCAGCTCGATACTGATGAAAAACAAACCTTTCAATAAAAATGGAGGAAAAAATTAAAGTGAGATAAAATCCAAAGGGAATGGACCCCTCCCAGTACGCACACACTCAGAAGTGTTACCTGTTCCCTGCTCTTCAAAAAAAAAAAAAAAAAAAAAGTAAACACATGTACGGAGTAATTGGAAAGGTCCTTGTGGCGGCAGCCATTATTTGGAAGCCATTATTTGGTGACCAGGAAGCAAGAAGCACTGTTTCAAAGTTTAGAAGACATGACACAAACTCATGAGGCTGGGAGGTGTGAGAAGAACCGTTGACTGGACAGGTACAGCACTAAACATAACACCATGGGTCAGTGCTATGAGGGATCTGCACTTAAGTCTAGTAGGGATCCCACCCAGGCAACTTCACTGAGGCCAAAATCACAGTTCCCCAGAACCAGCGTCTGTAGTATACCACCAGGGTCAAAGCCAAGACAGTTCTGAGGAGGTTGGTCTTCTCCCCAAAATACTGTATTGACCAATCACAAGAGCTACAGAAATGACAGATGGATCCCTGGAGTAGAGATTCCTACCGCTGGGGTTCATTGGCTCCGGAGGGGTACATTGCAAAAAGCTTGGATCTGTGGTTTTACTGGAGTTGGATCTTTTGGCCTCTTTAGCTCTCCACTCATCTGCCAGGTCCTGTTTCTTTAAAACTAGGTGTTTTCCTTTCCAATAGTTGATCATCTGAGGGTTTGGAGAGTGCTGACAATGTGCACAGG